CCCAAGGAGCAAAGCTTCGGGGAGGCTACTGTTCTTACCTATGTTCTTCTTCATGTTGACGTCGTTATTGTCATTGTCAGTCATTTGTTTGTTACTTCAATAACTAATGTTTTGTATCCAAGTGGTTTCAAACTTGGCTGAATGCAAAATGCTAATCAGGTAATTAAGTCTAGTTACTATGATAACTAAAGTTTCAGTAAGTCTGATTGGTTTCAAACTTTGCATAATGCAAGATGGTAATAAGAAGAGGGAGCCTATTGTTTTTTGGTACGTGTCTGAATATGCTAGTTGCTCATTTGCATATATTTTACTATTCAGGAAATTTATACTTAAATACTATAATAATTCCCAAAGAAAATTTCTAATTTAAGTGAAATTGCAATATTTTGCCGCTGGTGTAGTAAATTGTTTGTTACCACAAATAACTAAAGATTTGTAAGTCTGATTGGTTTCAAGCTTGTACTTATCAATTCAAGCTTGTACTTACCAATTCTCAGAGAAAAATCACGCTGTGGAGAGGCTATGCTTTTACTGCTCAGCGTAAAAGGAGTATTTCTAGTTTATTTATTATTTTATTCATTTCGGAAAGAAAAAAACAGTACAAAATCTGAAGAAATAGCTGAGGAGAAGCAAAAGCATAAAAACGCTGTCACCAGTAATGTGTGCTTCTCCAGCATTAAAAAAACATGAACAAGACAAGAACAATAAAATAGAAACAATAAAATTCAAAATACATCTCTATGACACTTAAAATATTGCTATAAAGAAAGTGTAAACATTTTGATAGAGCAGCCATTAACAAACAATTCGCAGATCTCACTGGGGATGGAATTCCAGGTTCTGGTAAAGCAGGTAAGAATACAAAATTTAGACATATCGTTGTTAAAATGTAAATGCCTGAATGTGAGGATTTCATGCTGGTGATTAATTTCTAAAAAATTATAAATAATAGAATGTTGGTGGTAAATTACATTCAGTGGAATCAAAATATCTCAATTCTCAAGAATGTGCCCAATTGATAACATACAGTACATGTACAGTAAGATGGTTTCATTGAAATCTATTAAGAAATTACTGCAATTACTCCAGTCATGACGAGTGTAGAAAATCAGTTGTAATAAATACCCGATGAGTCACTCGCTTATGGTACATTTCACAGAAGACGATATTCAAAGATTCAGTACAGAGGATGTGTTGCCTGTGTTAGCTTATTCCGATGTCTGTTAATTTATCCCAGTCTAGCCCATACTGTAGGTACATCCATGTTAATTAAGGCAGATGTGAAGATTTTTCCACAAGGAATATTATCTCTGAATATTAATGATGTTGCACCATAATAGAAGGAGAGTGAAAAACGCAGTCTACTCCCTAATTGATAATGTTCTTTTCCGAGAAGGTAGGATTTAAAATTTTTCAGTATTCAGATGGAGTTTTGTAAAATTCAACAACTGTTATGTCTAAAGCGCAACAGATCAAATCAATGGCTAATAATTATTATGCTTTACTTGCTTTACTCCATACGTTTGACTGAATATCTAAATTCTAGCATTCCAAAGGAAGCACCCACCATTTTATAATTAGCTTTAAATTTTCTGAATGGGTGTGTTAGCATTAGGCAGTAAAATTGTGGCTGACAAGCATATCATACCTGCTTTATACAGTATATGAATGAACTATTATTAATAATTATTATTATTATCATCATAGCTGTAGAGGTATTCAAAGCTTGAGTAGGATTTTTTTTGTTATGTTTTTCACACATCTTCTCATAGAAATTGTCTATTGTTTAATAATAACGTTTTTATGACTATAATAATTCTTAAGCATATACAGTAGTTAATCTCTATTGGCTCATGTATGTATTTAGGAATAATTTATAATAGAATATAATGTCCTTGCTTATGATTAAGCTGATTCAGATATATTTATTCAGATAATAATGAATGAATGAATGAATTTAAATTGAAATTAAAACAAATATTTGTAATGACAATGAGAA